GAGAGTATAATAGCAAAGGTAGAGAGTGGGCAGAAGATACCTAATGTTGCTGGGCAGTATGGCATGAACAGGTCTAAAGTAGGCTGCAGTTCAATCTTATTTAAGAAAAATACTGTATGATCCAGAAGACTCAAGCAGCTAAAGGAGTAACAAAAATCACATCTGAGAAATAAATAACATCGAAGAGTTCATAATGGAACCTGAAACAGATCTGACGACAGAAGAACGCCAAGAACTCTTGAATGAAGAACACCAAGAATCTCGGCGAGATATGATTCTTTCTGAAAAAGAGGATTAATGCCGATATCTGTTATTAAAGATCCTTTGAAGAAGTGGGAGGATGTCAGAACAACGGTCTTAGAATGGCATCTAAACCAGGTTGAGGCTTGGGATTTCTACAATTGCAATGCTATTAATTACTTACGAAAAATCCTGAAGAGAGGAAAGCAATTGACATTAGACATATTCTTTAACCATTTCAAACGGAAAAAAATATGACTAATAAAAATGCAAGACTGTGTGTGTATGTATTTTTATTATTACATATAAATAAACGTAGTAAGAAAGTATATATTTTTTATTTTTTGGGGTCTTTAGAACGAATTAATTAAATTCCCATAGAAACCTATGGTAAATCGATAATCGGTTAACAAAGTCTTGGAACGGATTATGTTCGTTAACCGATCACCCACTGTATCATAAAAGATGGATTTATGTCTTGTGGTGTCCTCTAATGATAAAAATTTTTCAATTAAAAAAAAAAACAAAGACCTGGTGTAATTAATATATATATATATTTTGCTTGTACCACATTATTTCATGTCACCTATACTTAGCCATGCCATCAGCAAATGAAATCAATAAGGCAGCCAAAGAGACAAATTCCCTGACTTTTTGATTTTTTTCAAACACATGAAGAAATATAAGTACAAAAGTACAGGTGAATGGGAATTTTCTACATACAATAAGTACATATTTTTAGCTTTACAAAAAAAGAAAAAAACAGTTACTTTCTTTTGTATTAGGTTAGAATATCACTTCTCTAATGGTCTATTTCACAAACATTGAATGGTGAGAACTTTGCCAGTTTCAATGGTCTCATAAACATTGCAAAAAATAATTTTTCTACAAAATGTGTAATGTTTTGAAAAGAAACAACTAGTCAAACCAATCACATATTCCAAAAATCCAGATAAATAGTCTAACTGTATTTTTAAATATATGTAAATAGTTACTTTACATACAATATTAGTATCTTCAAATGTGTTCACAAAGAAGTGTGAAAAGATATTCACATATAATGTTAATTTATTTGTTGGACAACTTGTGTATTTAATTAAATTCTATGTTAACTTAAATAAGTCAACCAGACGTGAGTTTTAGTTGAAAATATTTATGATAGCCTGTTGGAGTTATAGTAAGTAATGCACAGCAATTGCACTTGTTTATCACTCTATGGTAAAGATTGGCATTTTACACCCATCATATAATTCAATTCTAATTTTGGATAAATTTTTTTCAGGCTTAAAATGCATACTTATATTCTGGTATATATGTTAAATTAAATATCTTGCAATCTACTAGACTTAAATTTTACTTAATTATAAAATAATAAATATTCACAAGTTTTGCTACCTTATAATTAAATAAAATTTTTAGCTTGCTAAAAAAAGAACAAAACAACTGCTCAGTTTAAATTCTTAAAGTTTAGTACTTACTTATTTCTAAATTTAGTACTTGCAGCAGGAATCAAATCAGGATTAACAGGTACTTGAACTCCTCTCTCCCATTCTAATTTCCAAGAGTCAGAAATTACCCAATAATCTTCTGGATAAAGTTGCTCATTATCAGGAAGTTTCATTGCACTAATGAGATCTTTCCGAAATAACTAGAAAATGTTATGAGATGATATCAATTATTATTAATTTTAATACGAAAATATATTATAATTTGTATAAAACTATCTGCATGCATTATTTTTAATTTAAGGAAGAAGTTTCTAATGATGATATATTTTCTATTGTTAAGTTTGTGCATTACAATTAAAAATTCTATTATTATTATGTTGTGAATGGTTGTGAATGTCATGCTCAGTTGGTACTGGTGCCAAGTGCTATGCCAGACTAAAGTCAAGGCATAGCTACCCAAACAAGTGTAACATTAAGCTGTGTTATTGATATGTGTGTCAACATCTAGAAACTTCCTAATAATGTCATATATGTTCAATATTATTATTATTATTATTTTACTTTTTTTATCATAATTATTACACTGTTTTGTTATAACATTATGACAATATTTCTGCACGTTGTAAAGATTATTGTTTTTTAATCAGTCTTATTACTGATCTATTGAACTATATGTTTTTATCATTTTAAACTGATATATTCAAAATAAATAAAATTTAATTTTCTATCTATAAATAATGAAACTGTATCATATGGCCATGCCTCATTTATCTATGAGAAAATGAAATACAGGAAACACAGTTAATGTATTAATACCAAATTTGTACAGTAGAACCTCGATTATCCGGACTAATTGGGGATGAAGGTAGTCCGGATAAGGAAAAATCCGGATAATCGAAACAAATACTTTAATTTGTCTTTTAATGATAATACAACACGTTTTCTTTTCGATGACATATCAGTAATATTAAAAGTAAATACTGTATTTAAATCGTGATCAAATTTTCAAGAAACAAATGTTCATATTGAATTTGGACTACTACTGACCAATGGTAACAGACTACCTATTGTTTAAAAGGCCCTCTGGTGGCGCAAGAAGACGGGTTTTATAAAATAAAAAGCAGTTGAAACTGCATTTTTATGAATAAAAATTTGACAAACTATTTATCGTTTTACGAGTAAAATTTTTTCGTCGCATTCACGGCTTTTAAATAATGCATAAACCTTCGAGGCACAAGGCCCTTCGGACCGCGAGGCATAGGCGGTGGCCCACGTCGTCCATGCCTTACGCCGCCCTTGGTCATAGAAATGATATAATTTAAATATAAATTATTTATAACTACATATGTCAAGTTATATTTTTATTACTACGTAAAATATATTTAAGAGTTTACGACCACTGTGATGGGTAAGACGTTGTTGAAACAAAAAAGTTATGCATTCCATCACGTACATAAACAGTGTCGTAATTCGCAAAGTGCAAATCAGCAAATTCGTAAAATTTTTGTTTATTTTGAACAATCCGGATAATGGAGGTCCGGATAATGTTCTACTGTACATGTTCTTTCCTTGTAAAAATTAAGAAATCACTTCAACTTTTTCCAAACAAATAAGAAGTTTTATCAATTTTAAATTTTTTATATTGTACTATTTTGAAAATAAATGTTATAAGAAGTAATATGGTCAAATTCTGTCTTTTCTAAATTTCAGACTTTAATTCAACTGAAGTAAATATCTTAACTTCAAATTAAAGATACAGTAGACTTCTATATAATGCAGGGTCACATAATATAATTAATTATTATGCCTTTGTGTCCTATATCTTAATTTAATATTTATCTTGTATACTAGTACTTTATCAATTAACAGGAGTTATTATACTGGTTTTATGGATGCAGAAATTTAGTCTTACAGATCAGAAATAATATTTTTTTATTTAGTTCACCTGTACACATACACTTTAAACTTGTGTTTCAGACTTGTTTGTCCCTCATCAGCGGGCATTCAAAAGACACTTTAAATTCAATATTTTCAAACTCCTTCATAATTCCTAGTATATTCGTAATCCACATTAACCATATAATTTCATACGTATTCATCAATCTACACTCTGTAGTATATACTATATTCTATATATACACTATACAGGGTGTCGCAACGAAAACGAAACGACAGAGATATCGCGTTCGTCCAAGCAAATCGCTCGGACAGGTCGATTTTATTCTCAAGGGGGACATCTTCTGCAATGAAGTTTTTGCGATTCTGAATACAACAGACAACAAAATTTTTAAAAACTTATTCATTTTTTATTAACTAAACAAACATTTATTTCAAATAAAGTAACACAAACGATTAAAAAACATTAAAAAAACCTTTTAAGCTAGACTTTTAGTCGTTCGACAGACGATGTTGGTCGCCATAGGAACGCTACTCGGACAACATCTGAAGACTCGACCGCTCATTGGTTAAAAGACATCACGCCATCTGCGGACGTCTTGGAGAGCTTTAGCTTGAAAGGTTTTTTTTATGTTTTTTAATAGTTTGTTACTTTATTTGAAATAAATGTTTGTTTAGTTAATAAAAAATGAATAAGTTTTTAAAAATTTTGTTGTCTGTTGTATTCAGAATCGCAAAAACTTCATTGCAGAAGATGTCCCCCTTGAGAATAAAATCGACCTGTCTGAGCGATTTGCTTGGATGAACGCGATATCTCTGTCGTTTCGTTTTTGTTGGGACACCCTTTATATAGAATAATCTAAGATGAATATGTATGAAATTATATGGTTAATGTTGATTACGAATATACTAGGAATTATGAAGGAGTTTGAAAATATTGAATTTAAAGTGTCTTTTGAATGCCTGTTGATGAGGGACAAACAAGTCTGAAACACAAGTTTAAAGTGTATGTGTACAGGTGAACTAAATAAAAAAATATTATTTCTGATCTGTAAGACTAAATTTATGCATCCATAAATCCAGTATAATAACTCCTGTTAATTGATAAAGTACTAGTATACAAGATAAATATTAAATCACATAATATGAATTTAGATAATGTGGGGAAAAAACTTGTGAAAAATAAGTACTGATCTATCATTTTATATGACAGTGCTCATATAAAACGATAGATCCATATGTAACACAGTATGTAAATTCAAAATTTAAACCAATCTTTATAATATATAACTTCATATGGTATGAAATTTCCAGGCATTCACTTGTCCTAGCAATAAAATGACAGAAGTCACTTTAGCAGTGTCTCCTTATTTCATGGTAACTGTCTTGTATAATACTGAAGAGATGTTTTAGATAATGCTTCCTTACATAAAAAAGAAAACTTTTACCCAGCCATGACTACTAAAATTAAGGAGGAAAAAAAATCAAAGTTGAGCAAAATATTTATATCTTTGGAAAAAATTTAGAATTGTGGATAAGTTGTATCTAGTGAGAAACTGGGAAGCATCTGTCAGTGCTGTGTTTTCATTACTAATTTATTTCTTTTTTATAGGTTAGGTGTAATTCTCTGAATTTTTTGAATAATTATTCGAGAGAATTGTGTAACTTTTGTGTTGAGAACAAAACTGTGGATGCCTGGCATATTTTGACTAAATGCGAGCATCTTAAAGTGTTACGTGATGAAATTTTTGGTTGCAAAGTTCTTACCAGGGGGCGTGATTCCTCTATAAAATTGGCCTTACTGCTGGTGTTGTTTGAGAGCATCTGTCAGTGCTGTGTTTTCGTTACTAATTTATTTCTTTTTTATAGGTAAGTTTTTACTATTATGACAGTTAATCCGAAAAGAAAGCTGTATTCACTGAGCTTCAGGGAAGAAGAGACTAGTAGTAAAAAGAAATCTTTGAAGAGTTGAGAGGAGGAATAATTTGCATATCTTCAGGAAGAAGATTTTAACCTCGAAGAGGGTATACATGTCCTGTTGTGTTTACATTTATCCATGAATTCTAAGGTCGACAAACTTATTTCTAGATTAAATTATGCATCCAAATGGTTAAAAAATTTAGATTAAGGTTTGGCTGAGTTAGATAATAGATAAGAAACATTAGAAAAATTGGCTGATAAAAATTGTAGTTTAAGTGATCAAAGTAATGTTACAAAAAGTTTAACAATACTACTCGTGAACTTGATTTTTTGGATAACTAACATCGAATAAATAATGTTATTTCTGGTTTAGAAGAGGTTCGGGATAAATCGTCTCTAGAAATGAAAGAGAAAGTAGTTGAATTTGCTACATGAGTTTTACAGATGCCCAACATTAAGACTGATAGAACAATGAGAGTGGGTAAGAAAAAGACCAATTTCCCTAGATTAATTGTTTGTACTTTTGTTGATTATTATGAAAAAATGTACTTTAAGAAACGAATTCTGGAGTTAAAACTGGATGGTGTCTATGTAAATGATGACTTCTCTCCTAGAGTGAGAAATATTAGATTTAGGCTTCGGGATTTCAGTAGACAATCAAAACTTTCTGGAGCGCGAATGGTAAAAATAGTTTATGATAAAATTATTATTGATGGAACAAAGTACTTTTATGATGTTGATTGTAACTAGGTTAAGCCTGTTTCATCCTAGTAACTACTGGATAGGGGTACTTCTTTTTTGAATTGGAATTGTGCTGGTTTATTTAATAAACCTGAGTTTTTTGGAAGTATTTATTGCAGTATGATATTGTATTTCTTTCTGAAACCTGGTATGGCTCTACTAATAGAAATTTGGACTTAACTAATTGTTTGCAAGGTTATACTCTTCATTTTGGAAAGGCTTTTAAGCTGCACACGAAAGGTTGTTATTGTGCAGGCTGGTTATTAGCAATAAGATCCTCTTTTCCCTGTATTGTTGTTTATCAAGATTACTTTTTAATACTTGTCAAATTTGATGCCGAACTTGGTAATATTTTGGTATGTTTTGTTTATTTTTGGAAAAATGACTGGCAGTCTATTTTTGATACTTTAACTGGTATTGATATTAGATAATAGGAATCATTGATCGCTGGTGACTTTAATGCTAGAATTGGATTGGAGAATATAATTTCTGACACATTTTGCAATTCTTTTGATATGCTTGTCCTTTGAATAGGAATTCAAAAGACTTAGTAATTGATTCTTGTGGTAGAAAGTTGCTTCATTTATGTGATGATTTAAATATGATTATTGTTAATGGGAGATGTTTAGGAGATGAAGCAGGTGAATATTCTTTTATCTGTAGTAATGGTTGTTCAGTTATTGATTTGGTTATAGTTTCTCCATTAATTTGGAAAGATGTTTTCTCTCTTAACATGAATCAGTTTTTGGATTCCAACCATAACACATTGATTTTACAACTGACTTCTGGTAATGATAGGTCGGTCTCTTTCGAGAAGAGACAGAGGATTAATAGATTGTTTTGGAATGAATCCAGAAAGGATGAATTAAGGTTGGTTTTGGAGAAAATATGTATTTTAAATAAGTTTGATTCAATGGAAGACCTGAGTAATTGTCTTTTTAGTTTGGCTTGTAAGTGGGGATTTAATATCAGGAGACATAACAATTCTTTTTCATGGTTCAATTTGGACTGTAGGATGTTAATTAGTGCTAGGAATAGAGCCTAGGGATCTTTTAGGAAAAGCAATGATTCTAATGATCATTTGTGTTTTGTTATGTTACGAAGTTTGGTGAATGTTTTGAATTGCAAAAAAAAAAAAAAAATCATTTCCTGGTAAAATTCAGAATTATTTTAGGAAAGATAATAGACTTTTTTGGAGTTATTTCCGTCACGTTAAGCAGGCTCAGTCTCATAATTTCAGCTTTATTCCTATTGATGATTGGTTTCATCACTTTTTTAATTTATTTGGTTCCTTGGATCCTTATTTTGTGGATATTTCAATTTTTAATTCTTGTAGAATTGGTATGATGAACTTTTGGACCATGAATTCTCTATAAGTGAGCTTAATGATGCTTTAAGGAAGTAGAAGCCAAATAAGACCCCAGGTTTTGATGGAATCCCAATGGAATTTTGGAATTTTGAGTTGTTGAGACCACATCTTTTGAGTCTTTTCTCAAAGATTTTTGACACTGGGATAATACTAGAGTCTTGGAAGATAAGTATTTTAATTCTGATTTATAAGAATGGTAGGAAGGATGTTCCTGGTAATTATAGAGGTATCTGGTTATCATCTTGTGCTTCGAAATTGTTTTGTATTATTCTGTACAGAAGGTTGACTCGATGGTTAGAAGTTAAAAATATATTGCATGAAAATTAGGCAGGTTTCAGGGCTAGTTATTCCACATTGGATAATATTTTTGTTTTGTATACAGTTATCCAGAAAACTTTTTTACAGAAACATAGGAAAGTGTATGCATTTTTTGTTAATTTATTTTCTGCATTTGATAGAATTTGTAAGAATTTGCTGTGGTTAAAGATGTTGCGTTATGGTTTTAGTTATCAATTTGTATCTTTACTCATTGCTTTGTATGAAAACTCCTTGCTTATGGTAAGAGTTGGAGGTAACTATTCGCCATTAATGTTCTCTAAGACTGGTGTTAAGCAGGGCTATATTTTGAGCCCAATTTTATTTAGTATTTTTTTGAATGATCTCTTTGGCATTATTAATTCTCCGGTGATGGTATAGAAATAAATGGTTTCCAGATTAAAATATTGGCTTACGCTGATGATATTGTAATTTTATCTGATTCTGTGGTTGGACTGCAGAGATTGATTGATAAATTGGCAATTTATTTAGATGAAAATGGTTTGAAATTGAATTTGAATAAGTCTAAGATTGTTGTATTTAGAAGAGGAGGTAAGAATGCGAGGGCAGATAAATGGTGGTTTATGGGTTCTCCAATTCAAGTTGTCTCTAACTATAAATTTGGGTGTTACATTTTCATTTAATGGTTTATTCCGTATGCATTATATTAATAAGAGAACTCATGCTAGAGTATTGATGAATAAAGTTAACCATTTAGGGAAATCTGCCAAACTATGTAATCTGACTGATTATTTATGTTTATTGAGAACTGTGGTTTTGCCCTCTTTATTATATGCTTCAGAGATTTGGGGTTTTAACTTGGTCAATGGTGATGGTATACAGGTTGAATTTATTAAACAGTTATTTTATTTACCTCATTGTACTCCAGGTTATTTAATCATGATGGAATGTGCTTTGATTTATAAAATTTATATTATTTAGTAGGATAAAAAATTGGATTATAAGAATTTCTAATCTTGATGATCATCGTTTGAGTAAAGTTTGTCTGAAATTTATACTTAATGAAAAGTATATAGACTGGACATGTTATTTTATTGATACCTGTAATAATCATGGTATTAATCTTATTAATAATGATGTGGATTTAATGGACTGGTCTCTTCTCCTCGTTAACATTTTTGATAATTTTTTATACAATATAAATGAAAAAATAAATAATAGTGTATATAATTGCTGGTATAAGAATTTAAATGCTACTTTTTTTGATAATTTTTTATATAATTAAGATGTTTCCCTTAATATTTTGTCTTTATTTATACAGGTTAGGTGTAATTCTCTGAATGTTTTGAATAATTATTTGGAAGAATTGTGTAACTTTTGTGTTGAGAATGAAATTGTGGATGCTTGGCATATTTTGGCTAAATGTGGGTGTCTTAAAGTGTTACATGATGAAATTTTTGGTTGTGAAGTTCTTACTAGGTCTTTATTTCTTAAAATTTTATCAGAACCATGTTATCAATTTAAAGTGTTTTGTTTTCTAAGAAAATCTGTTGATTTTTTGTCTTAGGGGGCATGATTCCTCTACTGTAAAATTGGCCTTACTGCTGGTGTTGTTTGGGAGTATCTGTTAGTGCTGTGTTTTTGTTATTAATTTATTTCTTTTTATAGGTAAGCAATTTGCTTTCTCTTTTGGTTGATTCTTTTATTTTTATCTTGTTTATTGGTTTTGTATTATTTTTGACAGATGCTCCCAAACTTTAACTTTATACTTTAGCTTTAAACTTTAATTATTATATTTGTTTTTTAAACTTTAATATTTAAATTGTTATTTATTTAAATTAATATTGTAATAATACATAATATTTGTTTGTAATCTTATGTCTATTGTATTTAAGTGTTGTGTATTTTGTTTTTTTGGGAGATGGTTTTGCTCCCGGCATCAAGGAGTATATTCAGTATGCGTATTAAATAAAAACATAAATAATGAGAAATTAGTAGTCATTGCAAAGATGTGAATCTAAATGAGACAACTATTCAAACAATTAAAAAAACTGAAAATAAAATATGAACCAGTTTCTTCTAAGTTTCTACTATATTTTTAGTAAGTTTGAATAAATGTATACTTTGAGGCCAAAAATAAAAGTGTTTGTTTTGAATAGAGGATTGTTCTGCAAGGAATATGCCTTTGAACAGTCAAAGCATAAAACTAAAGGCACTAAAGATTTACCAGCATTTAAGAGAGCATGAATGTATTTATTTTAATGAATCACACATAAACACAAATTTAGCACTAGTAAGGCTTGTTTCACAGATTCAAAATATAATTTTCTTTGCATATAATTTTTTCTATAATTTTCATTTTATTTCTAACATAGAAACAGCCCAGAGATTTCAAACAAATCTTTCCAAGATTATAGAAGAAAGTAACAGCAGATCAGTTATATAATGCTAATAAATTTTTTTTTTGTCAGAAGAAAATGCCAAAATGCACTTACATTTTTAAAAATGAGAAATCTACTTCTGGATTTAAGACTTCTAAAGCCAAACACTTTACTTTTATGTTCTAATGCATCTGGAATTATATAACAAAACCCATACTAATCAACTGTGTTTCAAACTTTACATGGAGTGAAAGATTTGTAAACTCATTGCTTCCTATTTATTGGTACACAAATAAAAAGTATGAATTACAGGTGCTATATTTTTTGATTGGTTTCATAGCTGCTTTGTATCTCAAGTTAAAAATTACTCCAAAAGAAAAGATAGTGCCTAATGCCTACCTCTAGCTACTTGATTAATTACTTGATATTTAATTAGTAATTAGTAGCATTATTACAGCCTGATGTAATTCAGAAATTGTTTGTCAATAATTAATTAGTCTTTAATAGTTCATTATAATATTAAAATTATAAACATTATAAACAAAATTTTCATGCTACATTTCAATAATGAAATTAAAACCCATTTCCACTTGTTTATTCATCATTACCATCAACAATTATCAATACACAATAATCATTTTTTAGAACTTTAGAAAGAAAATAAATTTTTCTGGTAAAATGAGGAATAGAAATTGATTTTAAATTTTTTATGACAGTACACAATGAATACAAATGATGGATTAATCAATGTTAAAATAAGTGGGGGGAAAAACAAAAGCAGCAATAAAGTATGCAATTAAATAATAAGTTATAAAAATTTCTTACCTCAGCTGGTTTATTATTTCTGTATGAACTGTTATAGATTTTTGATAATGATGGCCCATTATAACCCTTTGAAGATAATGTTCCTGTAATATAAATAAAATTTGAAATTAAATTATTAGCAATGAGATTTTTAACATACATAATCAAATATTTCTCTGCATCAGTTATTATTATTATTCTTGATTAGTCTGTTCTTTCCAAATTTTAACAATTCAGTTAATATATCTAATTTCTAGCCTTAATGACAAAATACAAAATATTTTTTAACTTACGATTTATAAACATTGTTTAAATTAAAATACTGTATGCTAATTTTTAAGATAATTATAACTGATCATATTTACCTCTACTATCTTCATCTTCACTTGCACTTATTTTTCTTTTTCTTTTTTTTCCAGATGTACCTTAATTAAACCAAAAATTATTTACATTATTTTCAAGTAGTAATAATTTAATATTTATATAATACAGAGGATGTTTACACAGTTTTAGAACAATTCTTTTGCAATATAATTAATATTTTAAATAAAAAAAAAAGGCTTATTTCTTATTTTTTCTGGACTACTATTGTTCTATATCTGCATTTAGAAAGCGATTTTTGATAATTCAAAGACACATTAGTCAATTAGAGACATGTCAGAAGACTTTGAAAGAATATGTTCGTAAGGTATAGTCAATACTTATTGCTTTTATTTTTTCAAGAAATTTAGTGGTAGATTTGAATGCATGACTGGTAACCTCTTGCCTTATCCTGATAAACTTCTATTCTTGAAGGCTCTGTGGATAAAGAGATTGTATTTCTTCTTTAAACATAGGTGTTAAAATATTATTTTGGTAATATATAAAACTGATCTTAACATTCAACTTTTCTTAACTTTAATTTCCCATTGCAGATAATACCAGCAATAATCATGAATCTCTTACTGAAACTTTTTTGAATTCTTAGTTCCAAGTTTGAAAGTCTTTTTATTCTCTTTTATATCAAAAAAATTCTATTTACTATCACAATAATTTAAATAAATCCATGTTTCAACAATAGCCACAATATATTTCCATCTTTTGGCTAATGATTTTCATAAAGCAATCTACATTGTGTTTTGTGTTCAACAACATGCCTAAATAAAAGGTAGTGTGTCTTCTGTTTTGTTTAAGATTTAACTCTTTGTTTATTATCTTGTTTACAGTTGATACAGAGGTATTTGTAGGCATTGCAAATTTTTATTTGAATCAATGGTTTTTCTTTTAAGACCAGAGATCTTACTTTTGAAATAATCAAAGTACATATGTACATTCTTCAAATATTCATTTGGTGTTGTTCTGTTTAAAAGCTATGCATGATAAGTTTTCCCTTTATTATTAATAATATTGCTTATTTTATATTTTGAAATGCTAATACCATGGTTTTCACACTTTTTTAATTATGGAATAAGAATATTTCTTTTTGAAAAGAGCAAAACATAACCTTCAATCCAAAGTTTGTTTATATACTCAATTTTGAAAGAACTATTTAGAAATTCCATTTTACTCAAAGAACTATTCTATCATGTCACTTAGGTTGTCGTCTTTTGAAACTGCTTTGTTGGCTGATGTAATGACCAGGAGGAGGAAGAAAATAAATACAACGATGTATTTCTTTTTTAATGTTTCTCACAATTGATATGCCTTGTAAATGCTTTAATTCTATTGTATTAAACACTAAATGAGGTTGGCAAATAATGCAACAAGCTGAATAAATATCATCATCATCATCATGAGTTAACCAAGTTTTGAATTCATTCACTTAAGCCAAGTTTTTGTAAGTGTACAATTGCATGAACTTTTTTCGATGAAAAGAAGAATCAAACAAATGCCTAAAGCGACTCATTTTAAAAAATCAATTTTTAAAATTCAAAATGGAAGCAAACTTACTGAGAACAATTATTTTTATTTAAAATTGCATGAATTGCATTTGAAAATTTAATGTACTACAGCAGCGCTGTCCAACTTATCATAGCCCGCGGGCCATATTTTCTTCACCAAACATTTCGGGGGCCAAGAAGGTTGGTGATGGCTAATTGGTCGGCTGGGAATCACGCCACATGACATTTGCATAGTGCTACGGTTCAGTGAGCACTAATTGGTCAGCGAGTCCGATCTCGACGCTATAAAAAGGCGACAGTTCGACACACCGGATATACGTCACTCTCGTCTAAGTTCGACTTGGGAATTTTTTTGTTCAATAATAAATGTGAATTCTTCTTCCTGGAAAAAATAAGACCTAGCGCATTTTTCAGAGCAAAAATTAATATAAGGCACTGTCTTATTTTCGGGTAAACACGGTAGTAAAATAATTTTAATATTAATAATAATAATTTAGTAACATAAATTTATTCATAGTAAAATGTACTCGCGGGCCGTAAAAATTATTTGGCGGGCCGTATACGGCCCGCGGGCCGCCAGTTGGACAGCGCTGTACTACAGCATCATCTATGAATCATAACAAAAACACTTCTATAAAAGATGAAACTAATTTAGCTAGAACAACACCCTAAATACTTTTTTCAGCAACATTTTAATTTATTTAAACAAAAGTTTTCAACTCCTTTTCATAACTCTGCATCAGGTTTAACAAAAAAGTTCAAATCTTCTTAAACCTGACAGAGCTATGAAAATAGGCTGAAAACTTTTGTTTAAATAAATTAAGGTGTTGTTCAAGTATTTTATCATTATAAGTAAACATACTAAATATTAAAAATAATTTTATATAATATTTTTTCAATTAAAATATAATTCTGTTTTTTATTTTAAACTGTTTTGCTGACAAATATTTTTGTCAACTGCCAGTCTTGATTTCAAATTGCCGGTCAAGCTGACCCAATATCAGCCAGATGGAAGCCCTAATGTCACCCTATCTCTCCTAAAATGGAGACACTTAGTACTGATAAAGTGCAATTTCTCATTGCTCTGACTGTGTGAAAGAAAACTCTGCCATGACAAACATCACTTCATGTACTGTACAGGACATCATGTACTCCCTGCTTTGTCAACAGGAAAGTTTCCAATAAACTAATACTTAATATCATAATTTAAAAAATTTTTAATCTTCAACTGAAACAAATAATTAATTTTCTTATTAAATGTGAAAGAATCATTTTAAAAATCAGAAATTGTGACGAATTTGCTCTATTCCTATTGCCAGAAAATATCCAATTTTTCCAATTCCTGATTCTGATTAATTGTCCCATCACTAAAACAAATATCATACAGAAAATGTATAAATATGAGTATCTCTCATATAACATGGCACTTCTAAACATGGTTTTGATCTAACACAGTTTGAAATTGGAGAAATCCTCTGTACAACATGGTTTCTGGTTTCACTCTAACACAGTTCAAGAATTTGGAAAATCTTCCATACAAAATTTCACAACTTTTAAATGCAAACTCCTTTATTCAATTTTTTTTTTTTTCAAGTAAGCATATGTATTTTCTGAAATTTGTCCACAGATTGTAGAATATTGAAATTTTCAAATTCTTTTGTGCCTTTTGTCAGGTTTACTGAAAACTGATAGTGTAATTTTTTACTTTCTTGTCCTAGTTTTCCTATCAACTGGGTGTCATCGTAATTATTTTCAGATTTTAGCCTTTAAGACTGTCACTGTGTTTTGTTTTTATAGATTAATTTTCATATTTAGTTAAGTTTATTTAAACATTTTTAGGTAAGTGTGTTATTAACTTTTTTTTAACTGTAGGTAAGTAATCACTCATAAAAATGATGAAAAAATATGGTGGTATGTCAGTACTCAAACAATTTAGTATTCGGACAAAAATTCTTGAAAAAGTCACTTGGTACTCAACTGAGCAAACATGACCCACCAGAATAAATTTTTGACTAATAACATTTTTATCTTGTCATCCATAAAAAATTTTTACGATAAAAATAAAAAAAAAAAATGAAAACATTGTTGATATTTCTGATCAAGATCAACAAAGACCTCAGAAGGTGACAATACTTTATGAAAAGAAAATGTCCTTATTTAACTAAAATTAATATTAACACATAATACAGTACTTTTAATTGTGATTGTTAATTAATTATTGATTGGAAGTAAAGTATTGATTGCTTTAATAAACACATTTCTCTTAGTAATGAAAAAGAATAGTATACTTTTGTTAACTTATGGAATGTAACCCTATGTTTTGCATTAGTCCTTTGTTTCATATAGCATGGATTTGCATAACACAGCACTTTTTCAGAACGTAACTACTGTTATACGAAGGATATCTGTACAATATAAAGAAAAACTTACATTAAGACATTCTTACAAATTGTTTTAAATTTAATGAAATCCAAGTATAAACAGTTTTCTTCAAAACAAACAAAAGTAACAATATAAATAAGGAATAATAAGATATGTTTGATCTGTATATAATGATTGCAAGATATATTTTTGATTTGTTTTAAGCTGAACAATTGGTATTCTTAGTGTAAAAATGGGAAAAGGAATTGAATCATTATAATATTTCAGAACAATATCTTATCAAAGTATATATTCTTTTATTGAAATTAGTGAAGCTTAAGCTACTTCCGGTTCTTTAGGAAATGCTGTATAAATAATAGCAAATATGAGAAATGCTATATATGACAATTTACAGAATTTATTAAAATAGATGGGTTTGAATATTTTAGTTAATAGTCTATTAGACAATTAACTAACTTTGTTTGACATACAGATGACCATTTGGAAATAAAATAATCTATTGAGGAATGAAAATTAGTAAAATACAACATCTATAATATAGTTTATGATGAGACTGTGTGACATTGTTTCCATATAAAATCTTTACATGTTGAAAAACATTTTATTAATTTGTCAATACACAGTTTAAAGGTTAGTTTTTTTTTTTGTCAAAGATCAGATCATTAACAGCATTGGAAGAGGATATTGGTAGAATGTTAATGGTAAATGGCTAAAATAATTAATAAATATTATAAATGTAATGAAAAATAACACACAGAGCTGAACATTTAATAATGTTAATTTTAAGATTTAATCTTTGGAATTTATTTATTAAAGTAATTAAATCATCTTGTAATGTTAAAACATGTTAATACAAATGCAACTTTCCATACAAATTTTTTTCAGTTTTCAAAAAACTCTTTATTACAATAAAAACATTTCTTCATTTACAGAAATAGTCACTAAACCAATCATCTAATTTCTCCTTTGATATGAATTCTCCTTATATTGAATATTAGTATTTTCTTAAATACTTCAATAAATTTTCTATGTGGGGAATGTTTTTCTGAATAAAAATAAATGGATTTAATATAAGTTCTTAACTACACTCATTGACAGAAAAGTTATGTATTCAGATGTAATTTTCCATTATTGCAACTTAACACAGCTGCATCTGCCAAGTT